GGGGGGGGGTGGGGGAATGTTTACTTATTACACCCTTTAGAATATTAGATGGTTTAGGATTTTGTATACATTTTTAAAAAAAATAATATCTATCCAACTTTAAGGCAAAGTTTCATGATAAAATATTACTTTTACACAAAAAAAAAAGGAAGAAAATCTTATAAATAAGACTAAGCCAAAGAAGTCTTGAGGTTTTTGTTCAATCCCATGCAATATGACTCGAGGACATCAAAATGTGGTCATTTGATTTTAATTATGAACAACTGAAAATTCTTATAAAATATGTGTATTTAGTAATTAAACAAGCAATTCTGTGTTGAAAATCAGAGCCCCAAAAGAAAAGTTGCAACATTATGGCTTTGATATAATCCTGAGGTTACAATGAGCTCAAGTATTTTAGTTAACTAATGAAATCTAGAAGTCTTAGAGGGTACTTGAAAAACAGCTTTCGTGAAAAGAATATTTCAAATATAGATGAAATAGGTGATCTAGAATGTAGTTAAGTCCTAAGAAAAAGACAAATATTCAATTATAAAATTCATTCTATTATTAATAGGCTCAAAAGGTGGTTCTATCAAATAATGGTTTCAATAACTTCAGATCAGCTTGTTAGACTTGATGCATTTTTAAAATGTTTGTACCAATAATTCACTTCATAAAAAGATAAATGAAATTAAAATGATTGATAACTTGTCATTTTAAAACAAAATACAATGTTATTGACAGCATAAACACATTATTATGACAATAATAATTCTTTAATAAAATAACTATAAAACTGCTGTTATTTAACATAATGAATCCAGTATTTATAATGTCATTGTCATATAAAAAAAGTTATATTTGATAAATGTCTTGAATAAAAAGTTAATCTTTGGAGACATAAGGCATGGATTGTTTTATCTTACAATAGCAAAAGTGAAAAGTACAATTATTTTAAAAAAAAACATATTATTCTGGATAATTTCAAATTTTATTTAAATTCTTAAATTTATTGCTTACAAAAATAATTAAAGATGTATATAAAAATTATTGCTTCAAAGATTTGCAAACATATTTTTTAAACTGCTACAATGCAATCTGCTATGTAATGAATAATTTATGTCTGTCATCAATTTAATAAATTATTGTGCAAGATTTTTAAGAGAGACACAACAAAAAAGTTATTTTGAATACAAAAATATTAAAAATACTATTATCTTATTTCTCAATGATTAGGAAACAATTCATCCAATTCATTTTCTGTTTTAGTTAAAACATGAACCTTTGTTACTGCTTTAGGACAGAACAGACAATTTAAAAATTGATTCGATAAGCCTCATCACACTTAAGAAGAACACCTGGCTATTAAAAGACACACTATGAAACAATTATCTTTTAAAATTGAAGGGTAACTTCTCCTGGTAAATTAAATATCTCTTGGATCAAGATGAGATCACAAAAAAAATAAAAATAAAAGATGATTCAACATTGCATAGTCAGTACCGGTACATGTATATTTGTTAGGAAACACAAAAAATCTTTATGGATCAGATTTACATTATATAATAAAAAAGGTACAGAAAAATTGAAGACTTAACTTGAACTTCCCTTCAATGTGAATAACAAAATGTATTTTGTATGCTGCCATCAGTGCATGTCTTGCTTCATTTGTCACAAGATTTTAAGATTTCACACAAATTTACTCCCAACATAGCAACAACAAGACAAAAATAATGTAATGTTATTATATAAAACTCTCAGCTACCTGGGCAGTCCTTACAGTTCCTTGACTTGATCGACTTGGTTTAGGCGGTGCTGTTCTCTCATTTCTATTTGACAAGTCTTTAGCTGATAAAATCACTGGGGACTTATGCGCTATAGAGTTATAATCAGATGGGTAACCTGAATTGTAGCCACTGGATTTCTGAGAATTTTTCTCATGAAGAATTTGGGAAACCATGTCTTTGTGTCGTTGTAATGCATCTTGGTTATTGTTATTAAATGCTGGGTTATCCAAACCAACAGGGGGCTCAGCCATGCGCTTCAGTGGAACTGAGTCCTTCACATTATAGTCTTGTTTTACGTTTGATTTGTATGAATGATCATTGTAGTCGTAAGAATCTTCCCTGGAGCGCACTCCTTCTGTTTCAGGACTGTATCCACTGTCAGCATTGGTAGACCGTGAGGATCGGTCACTATCCTGTTTCTTTAGTGGTCCAGAATATCCATGATAGTCTACAGCAGTACCCGGCCTATCATAAAGTGACTTAGCTACATCATAATAATTTCCATTATGATGTTTAGAGCGTGGCGGTGGCTTTTTTATTTCCACTGCAGCATTGAAGTGTCCATGTTTATCTGCATAGGCAGGTGATCGAAGAGGCTCGTCACTCTGTGTATTATGAGTTTCCTGCCTCTTATTTTCCCCACTTTTTTCCCAATCACCTGCGATCTCATCCTCTACACCAGAGTCATAATGAGAATAAGGCTGATGCTGTCTGCCGTAATGTTCATATGAACTGGATTTTTCATAGCCCCTGTCTTTTTCACCATTAAGCACTCTAGCATTCTGATATGCATATAAAGATGGATCTCTATCAACCTCATGATCATTGACATCATTATATTCTACTTCCGAGTATCCATAATTAGAGTCATAGCCCACCGCCCCTTGAAGCTCTTCCTCATGATTAATTGTCTGAGGTGTAGCTCTGTGATGAGGTTCAGCCAACGGGGTGTTTCGTTGGCGCTTTTTCTTTCTAAAACTCTCATAGAGACGACCAGCTTGTGCATAGCTGTAATTGTGTTCAGGTACATCCTCCCCCATTTCTGCCAGAGGGGACACAGAGTTGATTGTCCAGGCAGGTAGAATGGTTCTTATTTCATCTGAAGTGCAATTTAAAAAAACAAACATTGTTAATGAAATACCAACAAGAATTTAATAAAAACAAGATATAAAATGGAATAAAGTTTCTACTGATCAGCTATTTTAACTGTTTATAAAATTATAACGTAATAAACTACCCACCTTCAGTGACAGGTGAAAGATGAGGTTTCGGGTACCTTTGACCATCATATTGACTCCAAACCATTTCATGCATACCAATGTCTTCAAATTTCCAGGTGAACTCTAAATTCTACAACATTGAGGGGGGATGGGGGTGAAATAAAAATAAATTAGAGACACTGGATACAACATTATTCATAATCTCTTTTAAACTGGCATATCTTTATTACTTTTACTAATAAATTTAGGTACCATTATATACATTTTACTCAACGAGTTCCTGCGTTCATTATTCAATAAGCAACAATTAGCCTCTTCGATTCAGAAGAAATAATAATGTGATCCAAACTGATCATCAACCAAGCCGTTAACAGTACCCCTTACAGATTTTATGGTTTATTCAACCATACAATATATGGAGAATAAACGCTTTGATCAGTTTGATAATTCTGCTCCTCTAATACAATTGATAAATAAGATTTTAACAAAGGAAATAGAATAATTGACAACCCAAAATGGAAACATTAACCTTACTATGCTAAGTTTGATTCAAGAGATCTTTCATTTAAATTTACTCTACATATTCCTATAGATGAATATTCTATGAACAGCGCTTAAATAGAAAACAATAAATAAAGGGACCAACCCGTAAGGCATATAATGGAGAAGTCCTGTTGAGCCTGGCTCCATAGCCATGTGATCTGACAACTAGGTCACAGTGCTCCCATTCAGCAAAGCGGAAATTAACTAAGCAGTCATCAATGCCACTGAGAGACTCCAGGGCTTCATTCAACTCCTTCTGTTTTAGATGCTCTCTGTACACTCTTTGGACAATATCTCCAAACTGGAACTGATGGAGGTCAATTAATATAAAGAATTAAACACAAAAATAGACATGTTAATATTAAAAAACATATCACAGGAAATTCTAATAGCGCTTAAAGTAAATCTTAGGATAATTAATTTATTGAATTCGAAATTGTATTTTATACCTTTTCAAAAATTAATGTAATTATAGTATTCTCAAAGTACTGCAAGGATAAACATTGATTTTTATTATAACAGTTACATTTTGGCCTCCTTGCTTAAAAAACATGCCAACATTTCATAAGATATTACAGAATAACCATTATTAGCCCTGCTTAACTGTGCTTACCCTTATTTCAACAGATTGTCCCCGCTCAATCGCACCTTTGGCTAAATCTAGACCCATCTGAAGCCGGCTGAGAATTTTAGGGTGGGTCTGGTTTATCATAACAAGCCAAGGTTCTAAAATTGAAAAAAAAAATATAAACCAAAACTATAGTTCTACAACTCTTAATTCTAGAGATATTAAAAATTGAAATTCATTTATGCAGGTGAATATATGGCATCACATTACACAACTGTCTAAAGTTCTTATGAAATATCATAAAAAGGGTAAAAATTTTATCAAATGTATTACCATCTGTGTAGCAGGCGCCACAATAATGTCCTATCCCTCGACCAAAGTGTAGAATAGGTTGCAGTACAAGCGGACGTCTCAAAATCTCATGTCTAAAATCGTCAATCTCTTTTTTTCTATCCATGCAGTAAGTTCTGAAATAAATAAATCAGCATAAAGTCAATTAAATCTTAAAGCCCCAATTAAGTAATCGATTTAAATTTTGACCTATGAACAAAATAAAATAATGAGTATAATACTACAAACTAACTGAATTATCTTAAAAATCTATCTATGATACATGGCTAACCTTCTGTGAGGAACAACATTGACAAGTCTGTCCACTGACTCTACACCTGAACCATCTGCTAGGGGTCTCACCAGACGGTACAAAACATTGTTGTTCTGACACACAGATTCACGGCTGGCAATAACTAACGCTGCTGGAAAATCTTCCATTTTAACTAAAAATAGAATTGTTAAAAGTATGTCAGAATTTTGTTATTATAAAATAAAATAATAGTAATAGAATGTAAGAGTGCATAGCATAACTTCAAAAGTAATAACTGAAAAACGTCCTGTGCAGACTATTGATAGCCAATTTAGCCAGTCAAAGATGAAATATTGTTTTTGACAAATTGTGTATAGACAAATACCCTATATATCTTTGTTCTGATAATATCTGTATGATGCTGGACATGGTCTACTTTCACAATGTTGCAGGTTTAAATTACACACTTTATTTAAAATTTAATGGATAATGAATGGTCGAATGAACTCAGCAGTAGCTCTGTAAGGCAGCTGTGGAAGGAATCCTCAACAAATTATCCCCCCCCCCCCAACTCAGCCCACTGGATACTGACCAACAAAAAAATAAGTTGTGGAATGTAGTACTACAAGAACCATAGCCACTTCAATGATCCATGTCAATTCAAACCACTTTATTTACTAAATCTCTGTAAGGCAGCTGTGGAAAGAATCCTCAACAAATTATCCCCCCCCCCCAACTCAGCCCACTGGATACTGACCAAGAAAAAAATAAGTTGTGGAATGTAGTACTACCAGAACCATAGCCACTTCAATGATCCATTGCAATTCAAACCACTTTATTTACTAAATTTACACAGTATTTAGTCTTAGGCTAGTTAATCATTAATGTCTGTTATTCAGATAATAAGAACAATCATAATGATACATATAGGCCTACTAATAATTATTTATTAACTACTGTACACTGTAGACATCACTACATCGAATGATGAATTCAATGAATTGTAATTGTATTTATACTTTATAGGCTATAGGCCTGCTCGACCCGTACCAGCAAATGAAATGAATAATTACAATAAAATACCAAAAATGTTCAATTAAAACACTATCTAAGCTTACCGGGTATCTTTGTTCGTTTATATCTATAAGAAGAACACAGTTAATTTGAAAGAACCAGTTTGAAACGAATTTCGCCCACACCAGGAAATGAGCACGAATTTTTCACATCAAACGCCATTTTGTCGTTAGTAGGCCTACTGGTACAGATGACGTACCCTGGTGACAGTGGTGGTAGAAGCAAAAATAGGTCAATCGCAGGTGTAAGGACAAGTCGACATGCCACTGCGGCACTAGCAAATTGATCACCCGGTGTTCAGGTGTTAAAACATCTGGAATAAAAATTCAGAAACAAATTAATGCACTTTTGATTAGTTTAAAATTTAAAGGCTACACCAAGGTACTTTATTTCATAGGACACAAGAAGAGTGAAAAAAAATTGTAGACTTGCAAGTGTATAATATGTCAGGTTTGCTCTCAGTGTGTGACGTCAAGTGTTCTACTTCTGTCAGTATGTCACCATGTGATATGTCAGGTGTGCTGTCAGTGTGTGTTAAGTAAGGTGTGCTTTTAGTGTGTGACATGTCAGGTGTGCTGTCAGCGTGTGTTATGTAACGTGTGCTGTTAGTGTGCGATATGTCAGATGTGCTGTCAGCGTGTGTTATGTAACGTGTGCTGTTAGTGTGCGATATGTCAGGTGTGCTGTCAACGTGTGTTATGCAACGTGTGATGTAAGTGTGCGATATGTCAGATGTGCTGTCAGCGTGTGTTATGTCAGGTTGTGCTGTCAGCGTGTGTTATGTCAGGTTGTGCTGTCAGCGTGTGTTATGTCAGGTTGTGCTGTCAGCGTGTGTTATGTCAGGTTGTGCTGTCAGCGTGTGTTATGTCACTCCGGCACACCGAAGATTAAATTCCAAAATGCGTAAAAGATTTCATAGCCCTACACCGAAAAAAAAAAATGACCAATGTTCCTTTGCATCAGGCCTGCACAACATGCGGGAAACATGCCCCCCCCCCCAGCCCACACTTTACGACCCGCAAAGTAACGAAATATTG